GCTGTATTCAGTGTATTGCTTGGCAATTTTACAACCGTAGTTTAATTGAAGATATGAAGACCAAGATGCTGTGGTCTCTGGTATGTTCGAAAGTAGACTACGACCATACCAGAGACCACAACATCTTGGTTTTAATACCTTCAATTAAACTTTAAAAGGTTTGTAATTAGGACTACTAGTTGATTTCTGCATTTCCATTTTTATCCATCCATCCATTCTTTCATTTCTGGTGTCACCTTTTTGCTATACTTTATGTTTTTCTGGGGCAGAGGCAGATGACGAAGATCTTATGACGACTAGCAGCAGCAATCGGTCTTGGTCAGTGACGGAGGAACCCTTATCATCAATTATCTCCAATCCTGTTCTTGCTGTCGAAGGAACTTTGGCTAACTCACTTTTGGACTCGGATTCCGAATCTTTATCGGCTACGGAGTCGGGACTCCCGCAACTCACAAATATAAATACTACTGATAGTCTTATCTCAATTAGCCAAAGTGAAATCTTGGCGAATTTTTCGACACTCAAAAAATTTGTATTCAAGAGAGATCTGCCTACAGTGGGGATTTCTGAATCAATAAAAACTGGAAATGAAACCCATGTACTGAAGCAGAATTTTTATGACAAGTCAGGTTCACAATCCATCTATGAACAATATTCTTTATTAACTTCGTCAGAAACATATGAAAGAACACATTATTTAGGAATTGATGAAAGGAAAGAATATATCAAGGGAAAAAGAGAGCTTGAAATGGGAAAAATTAAAGTTGACGCCATACCATCTGTTGAAGACACATCTGGTCTTATTCAAGAGAGAATAGAAAAGGATCATGACAGACTATACGATGAGAAACAAGGTGCTTTAGATATGATTAAAAATATGGATGAAAAAAACGAAAATTCAACTAAACTATGTATTATCACAAAATTAGAAATTCAAAATGAACCTGCAATGGAGCAAAAAGAAGGTCAGCTTGCAGTGATAAAGAACAAAGATGAAATGAAGGGAATAGAAGAAACTGAGTCTAAGTTCGATGATACTTTTAAAGAGGACACAAGAAACTTAGAACTGAGAAGAAATATCTCTGTAAAATTGTTAGAAATGGCTCAGGAATCCAGACTAGCTTATGATACTACTCAAACTAAAGTAGAAGATGATACTGTAGCTTGTGAACAACGACAGATAGAAGAGGCGGAATATGCTTTAGTAGATGGCCTATCGTCTGTCCATCTTGGGTTTAAGCCACTTATAGACTCAAAGACCAGTAAGATTGAGATTCGTGATCCTAGACCTATTAAAAGTACTAGCCCTGTTGACTTCTCGCCCTCAGCTTCCTTCTTGTTCCGTTCTTTATCAGCTGAAGCGTACAAAAAAACTCCTTGGCAATGTTTGTGCAAAACCAAATCAAAAAGTAGACAAGAACTTGGCGGGGATACGACTGTCTCCAGGCTTTCTGCTTCACCTACATGTAGCATTCTTGACGAGGAACCTGCAATTATAGACAAAACGAGTGATGCTACAAGTTGGTCTGTAGCTTCTTCAGAAGTCTTTATGTCTGTGACGCAATCAGAAATCATCGAAAGCCCTCTTCCTTCTCTTCCTCAAAACCCAAAAAAAATGAAACAGGAGCCCCATCAACGGAAACCCGATTGTTCACAACGTCCTCTTCATCCACATAATTTGCAATGCAATGCCACAGATAAAGAGTCTGTGATTGATTCTCATAAATGCTTGGTGCAGAATGAATACAAGCCGATTTTCAGGATGGCGAAACCATATGTGGGCCGTCGCAAGTCTTTGCAAAAGTTGCAGCAAGAGGAAGAGATAACTAAGACATCAGAGATGGCGAAAACACAGTTGGGGGGGTGGTTCTTACAAAAGAGGGAAGAAAAGCTAGAAGGGAGCGACTTTATTTCAACTAAGGCGAGAGATGAATGTCGCCCCACACGAATGCAAAAGCATTGGAATCCTACTATCAAACCTGCCATTACACAATTATCTTCTCTATCCATTGAGTCAGGCGAACATAAAGTACGTGGACGGCAGGATCAGAAGAGGGCAGCGGCTGCTCGTGCCCAAGATCGACATTGGCATCGGCAACAGGTGTGTCTATAGCAAATTTAGAGATTTTAAAATATTTGTTTCTGTGCACTCTATGCAATAAACGGAGAACTTGCCTTCGTTTATTAATCGAAGAAACAATATTACTGATAGAAAAGC